TCAGCATAAATGGGATTTAGCAACATATGTAATTCCTACAACTATTTTCTAGTCAGAGAATTCGTTTAAATCAAATTGGAATTAAAACGGGTTTTTAACATGATTATAATTTGTTCCAGTTAAGTCTAAAACTGATTTAATTTGAATATTTGAGTGAGCTACTTACTACAGGGTATTTAGCAGTCGACTTCTGGCCACTAATGCACTCTTACGTGTTTTTCATTGCTTTTTTCTTTAGCCGCAGCGGCAGCTGTAGCTATGCAGAGATTAATCATCAGTTGGTTAAATAGTCTTTGAGTCATTCGTTTTCCCAGTTGCCTCGTTTTTGTGTTTCGCGAACTTGGCCAAGACAGAAATGAATGCTGCATGCACTTTGTACCTGCCTTCACAAGACTACACGCTGCCCACCCCTTCACACACACACACACACACACACACACACACACACATGCACATTCAATGAAAATCTTAAATTATTTATGCACATGGCCATAGCAGCCACGCCCCCTGTCAGCCCACACGCAGCCAAAGACAATTGCTGCAGCAGCGACTGCGCTGCTAGCGTCGCAGCCAAAGTTACTCATATGAAAAATATCTAATAAGAAAACCAATAAACTGTAAGAAGAGCTAATGCAGCTGACTGCGACGTTGACTTCAGCTGCGACGCAGACAGCATAACGCAGCGCATCGGTTTGTGTGTGGGGGCGAATGTGAAGTGGAAGTAAAAGAGAAATACATGTAAGCGAACACATATGCATATATATATATATATATATATATATATATATATATATACATGTGCGTGTGTAAACTTACATTTGTTGTTGCTGTTGCTTCCAGGCAATTTAGCGTATTTTGTTGTCGTGGGTGCTGCTGCAAATGTTGTTGTTGTTGCTGTTGTAGCTGTTGCTGCTGATGTTGTTGTAATAGTTGCTGCTGCTGCGCGGCAAGAGCACCACAATCCATATTACGACGTCGACGTCCCAAGCAGGAGGCAGGAGTAGCAATTGGGTATATAACAAATCCAATAACAAAGGAACTGCGGCAGTGGCTAAAATGGACGTGATCCGATTTAACGGCGCTTGATCTCTCTCTCTCTCTCCCGCTCTCTCTCTCACGTATCTCTTCAGGGCCTATGTCTCTCACTCTGCACGAAAACTCTTCGCGCTCCCTCTTTCTATCGCGCGCGCACCCGCTTTTGATCAGTTTGGCATAAATTTGCGATTGCGTTTTGAATTACAATGCGCTGTGGAATTGGAAACCCGTTGCACTTATTTCAATTTCTGTTAAATTTGCGTTTCTCTTGTGTTTCTCGCATTTGTCGTGTTTCGTGCTTCGTACTTTGTGCATGCCCATGCATTCTTAAACCGCTTCCTTTGCCTGTCGTTGCTGCTGCTGCGGCGGCTGCTGCTGCTGCTGCTGCGTAGGCGAATGCTGTTACTCCAACACGATAAACCGAGCGTGCGAACAAAACGAACGAACGAACGAACGAACAAACGAGCGAGCAACGACGAACGACGACTGCCGAATGAACCCGAAGTTTGTACGCTGGAGCTGGGCTGCTGCTGCTGCTACTACACCCACACATATGCATGCAAATGTCTCTTTGTGTGCTGCTTTTGTTTGTATTTGTATGTATGTACGTGTGTATGCCTGCTGGTGTGTGTGACCGTGCGTGTGTACTCCACTACAACTGCAACTGAAGTGCCGTTTCGTTCGCTGTTGTCGCTTTTACTTCATTTTTCCTGTCGTTTTGTTATTCCTCGCCTCCAACTGTTTCCTTTATATGCTGCCGTTTTCTTGTTGCGTTTTTGGGTGTAGTCAGTCAGCCTTTTTGTTGTTGTTGTTGTCGTTGTTGCTATTGCCGCTGCTTCTGCTGCTGCGCTTATTGCATTTGATATCCATCTTAAAATCTAACATTTGCAATTGCCTTTATTTAATACACAAATTACACTATATCATTTGCATATGCATGTGTGCTTTCATTTAAGTTAGAACCGAAAAAAATAAACAAATAGTACTATTGAGCTACGAAAAAACACCCGTGCGTAATTTCCACGAATTTATGTTTGTCGTGCGTTTTTCTGTTAACTGGGGATGTTGATATCGCAGCGATATCTATCGATATTGAAGTCGCGAATATGCGATAATTTTATTTGATTGTTAAGAGTGAATATATCGATGAATAATGCTCTTGTGCATTTTTTAACACTGTTACCTATGCACTTTTAAATATTTCAGGAAAGCTAAAAAAAAAAAATATAAATTTAAGTACAAAATTTGGTAGAGCAACGAGATAACTATTGAATATAAATATAACACAAACTTTATGTTTTATGTAGCAGACAGATTGCACATCATTTCAATGGGATATCAATACAACACGTCGACGATAACGTGCAAGCTTTCCCAAAACCCGTTATAAATTTAAAAATAAAGACATCGCCCAGAGACGTCTGTTTTGAAAAACAAATCTCTATTTTCATTAGGATTGTGTTTTAAATTTAACCCCAATGATATTTAACAGTTGAGAGTGACCGTACTTCGATAAGCACAAAATAAAGAAACGATACAACCGAGGCAACGTACCCATATAGGCTTTTGCAATATATGCGGTTACGGCCAGCCAAGACTTGCAATCGTTTTGTTTTTGTAAAATGTTATAATTATTTTTGTTAACATTTCAGAATTTGTGTGAAGGCCAAATATATGAGTAGTCGATGCCAATCGAAAGCGTTTGCACATCTCTAGCTGTATGTGCATTGGCAGCACTGTCTGGCAAAGTTCAACTGCCAACAGTCTGTTAGTATTTAACCGTTTTGTGGAATAATCGCCCGTTAGAATGTAACAGTGTTTCTTTCTCTCTCTCTCTCTCTCTCTCTCTCTATTGAACACCTTATAACGATGAGCATCATTAGTTTCTGATGTTTAACAGCACTGAGCATCTTTAAAACGATGCCCGAACAGTAGTCAACACTGTTAATTGCCGACAGTCCGTTGGAATTCGAATGAAACGTGCGCGCCAATGGCATTACAGTTGGTTAGAAAATTCAAAGAGTTGACTTTATATTTTTGTCACGTTTTTAATTATCATAGCATTAATATTTACTTATTTACATTATGATTTCAATTTGTCAACTGTTTATTTACTTTCTTTTCGAGTCGCTTAACACTAAGACTTCGGGTTCCAGTTTTTCTTGTTCATCTTATGTTATTTGTTTATAAAAAAACACGCACATAATATACTTGTAGTTGTTGCTGCGTCGTTTCTTAGCTATATATATGTATATATAGATATATAGCTTGCCGATCTTGTTTGGGTAGTGTAATTGTTGTTTTTGCTCTTATTCCTGCTAGGCTCGCGCCGATATCTGCTTTCTGAGAGACGGAAACGGAAGTACGAATCGAATCTTAACTGAATAACATAAACAATCAAATACATATACGTAATGAGTTTCATTTTTAAATAGTTGCTTTCTTCTTCTTCTCTAGATAACCGTTACGCAGCGCCAACCAAAAGTTGCACTTAAAAATTGTCTAAACAAATGATTCCATTTAATATATATGTATATACTGTCTTATCTTTTTTGCGCTATTTTTCTTATTCTTTTTCTTTTTCGTCTCTTTAACATGTTCTTTACAATTTCACAACATAATTATTAAATAATTATCGTTTTAAGTTTTATAAATATGTATAATATTTTTGTTTATATTTATAAAAGCGCTTAAGTTCACCATATAAAATGAAAAAATACAGTTCAAATTTACAAATGTTTTACTTCTTCTTGTTGTTGTTCTTCTTCTTTTTGTTTTGTTTTCTCATCATTGTTGCGATTGGTGTTTCAAAATAACGGCTGCTGCGCGTACAATCTCTCTCCATAGCGTGTACGTATAAATGTTTCCCCGACTGGCTTTATATAGGTTTTTATTATATATAATATATATGTATAATTTGGGTCCTAAAATTTGACAAATCAACAAAAATTAATTTAAGTTAATTTAAGAAAAAAAAAATAATAATAATAAATGAAACTAGATAACTAAAATTTATAAGACTTGCGCGCAATCAGATTTGTTGCTGCCTCTGCCTCTGCTCTGCGTCTGCTTCTTATTCTGTTTCCTTCACTTCCAGCTGTTTTCCAAGAGCACGCGCATATGAAAACAAAACTTATATATGTATATATATTATATAATGTTGATTTCCAAAAAGTTGTTTTCCGTCAATCCGTTTAGTAGTTCTTGTTGTTGTTGTTGCTGTTGTAGTGTTGCACTGTTCCAGTCTGTTGCGTCACGCGCTGGCGTCCTTCCAGCCCGTTCAGTTAACTCTCGTTGTTGTGTTGTTTCTTCTTTATATGCTTTCGTACGCTGCTTTCGCTGGCCTTTCAGTCGGCAGCGCTGCGCCGTCGCACCAGTTTATAGCGACTGCGCAGCATGTGAGACGCGGCAGCGGCTGTGACTGTGTCGCTGTGGCTGCTGCCGATGCTGGCGGCGCTACCGCCTTCCAGTTCGTTGCTGTTGTTGCTGGCGCTGGAATTGGCGCTGCTTTTGCGCGTTTGCCTTTTGTTCAGCAAGCTAAATTTGTACTGTCTGGCAACCCTAGCCGCCAAAGCTGCCGCTGTTGTTGTTGCTGCTGCTGCTGCAGCTAACGGACTGCGCACAAAGCGATATTTGTTGAGTCGTTGTTTTTGTTGCTTCTGTTGCTGCTGGCGTCGACGTCGCTGCTGCTGCTGCAATTGTTGCAGTTCATTTTGTATTTGCTGATGGCGTTCGTGCAGCCGGCTGCTGCGGCGCTGTAACATGGCCGTCGCCGTTGGTGTTTGCTGTTCGGAGGGGCAGCTCAGTGTCGTCCTTGTCCTCGTCGCCGTCCTGTGTGTTTCTTTTTCTCCTTCCCGCTGCTGCTGCTGCTGCTGCCCGCTGTCACGAATTGTCGTCGTTGTGTGGCTGTCGTTGTGCCTCAGCTGCTGCTCCGCCGCCCCCAATTCGCATTCACGTCCCAGTCCGTGTCCCAGTGTTGTCCATTGTTGTCCGGTTCTGTCATTGTTGACGGCGGCGTCAGCGGCGGCGGCGCCACTTTCCATTTCTACCGCGGCGGCAGGCGACGCGTCGGTCCGCGTATCTTGCGGCGTGGATTCTGCATTGCGCTGCCAGCGTTTGGTGGATTGAAACTGTGAATGTTTTAGGAGGAGGATGATGATTAGCAATAATTACAGGGTGTTTCTGGTGCAGCGAACAAGCGCGCCTGAAAACACCGAGTGAGTGAGTGAGTAAGAGAGAGAGAGAGAAAGAGAGTACATTCATAGCACAGCCAATCGAGTAAACGAGAGCTTATGCTACTAACACACACGCACACACACACACACTAAGATAATAAACACACATAACACACACACGCACACAGAGGTATTTAAGATGAGAAACACATATGGCACAATGACATGTACAAATGTAGAATGTGCATTCAACAAGAATATGTTTCAACATAAAAGTGCCTTATAAATAAAACGTATGCAATGCCAAACTTGTAACGGTTAATGATGCATTTTGTTATTATTTGTGTGAGTAAGTTTGTTTGTTTGTTTGTGTCTGTGTCTGTGTGTGTGTGTGTGTGTGTGTGTGTGTGTGTGTGTGTGTGTGTGTGTGTGTGTGTGTGTGTGTGTGTGTGTGTGTGTGTGTGTGTGTGTGTGTGTGTGTGTGTGTGTGTGTGGGTGGGTGGGTGTGTGTGCCTGTTTCAATTTAACATTGGGCCAAATTAAACAAAAACACTCTCTTTCCTCCTTGCACACATTCTCTGCTCACTCTGATCTGTAGCAAGCGCACACGGCTACATTGCCGTCTCTGTCACACTACTTACGCGAATATATTGGCTGGCGCAGGCGCACCGGCATTAAATTGGAACGGAGCGGCGTTTGGCGTTGACTGGAAAAGATATTTTTGGGTTTTTGTTTTTAAAAGTGTTGTAATTTGAACAATTCGAATGTTTTCTTTGTGTTCGCTAAATTTTGTGGACGCAAAATGTTAAGAAAATTTGCCAGCTTTCAACATTTTTGCACATCTTTTGTTGATTTTTCAACACTGTTTTTTTTTTTTTTTTTTAGCAATTTTCTTTGTGTATATTTCGGTATGCATATGTGTATGTAAAATTATGTAAAAATTATGTGCTATGATTGGGCTAAACTAAATAAAGCTTAAAATGGAATGATTGTAAATGTTATCATGTAATGTGTGCATGGGAGGAGTGTGTGGGGGAGGGGGGGGGGGGGGTGGTCTGAAGTAGATGGGTGAAGTGAATGTTGTTTTGTTTCTACTTAATTGAAAAGCTTTATGGTCAGTGCTTGTCAAACATTTCGCGGCCGAGCATGCAAAACCGAGCAACACAAACAACTATATATATATATATGTATATATATACATATTTCTATTGATATATTCGATTAGAATTATATTTGACAAGCACATGCTCGAGATAATGTGAAAAAAATGTCATGTACTATGAAATGAACGATACGCAAATGCCAAACTAACTACTTCAATTAATAACACATATAAAATACATCTAAACTATTTATATAGTAACACATATATACAGATCTAAATCGAGGTACTGTCCATTTAAAGTTTACCTGCATTTGCTGCGCTGAGGCGGTAAAATTGAACAATTGATTTGCTGCTGCTGGCATCATGGTTGATGATGTGCCACCAGCATCAGTTGACGCCGCAGTGGCCCCAAATTGGAAAAGTCGTTCCGTTCTTGGAAAGAACTTCATTGGCCACACCATTTTAAATAGCAGTAGTAGTGGGTGGTAGGTGGAGTTGGTAGTTGGAGTTTGTAGGTGGTAGGTAGTAGTATATTTTGGTAGTGTTGGTAGTCGATAGTAGTAGCAGTATTTGGTAGTAGTATTTGGCAGCAGCACAGCAGTTGTTTTAATTATCGGTAGAAGTAATATGAGTAGTAAGAGTAGGAGGTAGTTATCGCATAGTCGTGCCCGTGCCCAAAGGGATAATTTTTTTTTTTTTTGGGTGTATTACAATGGAATATATATATATATATTTTTTTTCCAACAGTACAGAGCAATGGAAGAAGAGAAATAAAAAATAAAGACAAGAAAAAGTATAAGTACAAAACGAAAATAATATCTTTTTTTTTGTGGTTTTTCTTTGCTAATAATGTATGCATGTGTCATCGATAAACGATAACAAACACAGCCAAACACACACAGTTTACGACAATTAACAACACTGCCGAAAATGCATGCACAGTAATAAAATAAAAAAAAAAACAGCCGCTAACAGCAACAACGATAATTGCAATAATTTTTTTTTTTTTTTTTTTTTTTTTGTAAATGTACGTTTCCTTGAAACCAGATATTAAACTACGAGTGTTGCCTGGCTGCAAAAGATGCAAAGCCGGGTGTTAAACTTACGTCGCTGTTGCCCGCATTGCCGCCAGCTGTTGTTGAGTTCGCCGAGAAATTAAATGCCGTCGTCTGTGGAGCAGTTGCCGTAAAATTGAAGGCTGGCTTTGGCAACGCGCTGCTGTTGCCGCCGCTGTTGCTGCTGCCACTGGCAGCGGCATTCGTGGGCGTTGCGCCAAAGTTGAAGACGCCGCCGGCGGGCTGTGTAGACAGATTGGATGTTGTTAATATGGAATTGTTCAAAATGTGTTGTTAAAAAACACTTACCGCAGCGATTGGTGCGTTGGCGCTAACAAAATTAAATGCCGGTTTAGGTGTTGCTGCTGCAACAGTTGTTGCTGCTGCTGCTGTTGTTGTTGGTGTTCCCTTGTTGTTGCTGCTGCTGCTGCTGTTGAATATGTTTGTCAGCGGCGAGGCGACGCCGCCGGCACCGGGCGCTGTATTTGTGCCAAACGGACTATTCACATTGCCAAAAACCGCAGAGATTGTGGCATTGCCGCCGGTATTGGGCTGTACGGTGGCAGCAGCAGCTGCTGCTGCTGATGTTGTTGTTGTTGTTGTCGCCATGCCAAATGGCGAGCTGACCGCCAGCGGCTGCATTGCATTTGTTGTTTTTGTTGCCGTGTTGCTGCTACCGAACAGGTTGCAGCCCTGGCTGCTGCTGCCGAAAATGGGCAAAGTTGTGGATGATGTTGCAACGCTTGTTGCAGGATTATTGGCAAAAGGAGTAGCTGCTGCTGCTGTTGTTGCAAATGAAGTTGTTGCTTTTGATGTTGTTGCTTTTGATGTTGTTGCTGTTACTGCTGCTGTCGGCCAGCCAAAGTTGGTCATTGTTGTTGTTGCTGTGTTGCTGCCAATGTTGTTGCTGCTGCTGCTGCTGCTGCTCGTTGCTGTTGATGGTGTGGGCTTCGGTCCAAAGCCAAATGATGGGCTGGTAAAGCTGCTGCTGCTGCTAGCATTGATGTTGCTGCCGCTGCCAAAGGTGAACAGCGCTGTGTGGCTGCTGGCCGGCGCTTGGAAGCCGCTGCTGCTGCTGCTGATGCTGCTTTTGGGTGTTGTGATGGATGAGCCGAAGATGCCGGCATTGCTGGCATTGGTGCTAGCTGCTGTTGTTGATGTTGCTGGCGCGCCAAAGAAGAAATTGTTGCTGTTGCTGCTGCTACTGACGGCAGTTGTAGCTGCTGCTGCTGTTGACACAGCTGATTGGCTGCCAAAGACAAACGTTGTTGCTGTGGCAGCTGGCGCAAAGCTAGTTGCTGGCGCAACTGTTGTTGCTGCTGCAGCTGCAGTCTGTGGGCTGTATAGAAACGAAGCTGTTGTTTTTGTCCCCGTTGCTGCTGGCAGCGTGCTGCTGCTGCTGCTGCTAACGTTGTTGTTGCTGCTGCCGCCGCCGAAATTAAACAAATTTGCTGGTGGCTTGAAGCTTATGCTGCTGCAGCCACTGCTGCTGCTGCTGGTGGTGTTGGTGCTGGTGCTGGTGCTGCTGGACACGGCTGTGTTGGGCGTAAAGCTGCCAAAGTTAAACAATTTGCTCTCCACGGGCTTTCCAGCGGCAGCTGCTATTGTTGTTGCTGTTGTCGTTGCCGTGTTGGCGCCAAATGCAAAAGTTGTTGCAGCTGCTGGTGTCACTGTTGTTGTTGCAAACAATCCCTGGCCGCTGCTAGATGTTGCCGGCGCCATGCTGCTGCTAGCCGGCGCAGGTTTGTCCGTTGCCAACGACAACTGTTGCTGCTGTGCTGCATTGTCGCCAAGTTTGAAGTCCACCGTTTTGGCAGCTGTTCCCGTGCCAATTTTGAAGACATTTGTCGTTGCTGTTGTTGTTGATGAATTACTGAATGTTGTCGCCCCTACTGTTGTTGTTGTTGTTGTTGTTGTTGTAAGAGCTTTGTTGCTATCGGCCACATCCTTGCCAGCATCTACTGCTGCAGCGGGCGCGAACCCAAATTTGAACTGCGTGACTGGAGCAACAGTTGCTGTTGCCGCTGTTGTTGTTGCACCTGCTTCTGTTGCTGCTGTTGAAGCAGCCTTTGCTGGAAAGCCAAACATAAACTTGGGCACAGCCGCAGTGGTTGAAGCCTCCTCGACGGTGGTGCCGGGCTTCAGTTGCTCACAGCATATGCATTTGTTGCGACTGATATCATTCTGTGCCATGCATGCCTCACAATTCCAGCTGCTCGACTTTTGTGCCGCGATCAGCTGCTGGAAGCCGGCATCCGCCTTAGGCTGCACAACAGCTGTGCCGGCGGCGGCAGCTTCAAAACCAAATTTAAAGCTGTTATTGCTGTTGCTGTTGTTGTTGGTACTGCTATTGCTGTTGCTGTTGCTGCTCTTGGGATTGGGAGACTGGCAGGCGAGGCATTCATTAAGGCTGGCCGGGTTCATGATCATACAACAGCCGCATTCCCACATATTTGCCGGGGGCTTGAAGGCATCACCAAAACCGCTAGGAAAACTGTTGCTGTTGCTGCTGCCAAAGCTGCTGCTGTTGCTGCCGCTATTTTGGGCAATGCTGGACATGCACACCTGTGTGCCAAGGCTTGTGGTTTTAAGGCGCGCCGTCTCGTCCTCAGCTGGATAGTTTATGGCCGGCGCCGTTGGGCCTGAGGCAGCAGAATTGGCGGCTCCTTTAGGTTTTGGCTTGGGCGTCTCGCAGGCGACGCATTTGTTCAGCTCCTGCTTGTTGCGCAACATGCACGCCTCGCACTCCCATTCACTGGCGGATTTCTTAAACTGATCACCAAATCCACCCGTTGTTAAAGGAGCTGCTGTTGCTGGAGCTGCTGCTGGAGCTTCTGTGCGCTTGGGCGGCAGCAGTACATCAATCACGCTGCCGGTGCTCTTCAGGTTGCTGTTGCATGTGGCACCATTGAACTGCAACGAGTTGGGCAAACACTTGGTCGGCTCATCCAATGGAACGGGCGGATCAAATATAAAATTATGCTTCATTCGTTTCTGTGGCGCCGCAGTTGTTCCGGCAGGATCGGCGCAATTGAGTGGCTGCGGTGTTGCAAACTGATAACGTGTGCTTGAATTGCCGCGGCGGCGAATGCTGCTGTTGTTGTTGGTTTTGTTGGTGTTGTTGTTGTTGTTGTTCAGCTTGGGCAGCTGCTGCTGCTGCTGGACAGTTGTTGCTGCAGCTGACACTGGCGGCGGCGGCGCAATAACCAAATCAAATGTCGGCTCACTGGCCATCACCGGAAAACGTATGTTGGGCAAATCGAGAGGCGCTGGTGGCAGCTGCTGCTCATCCACAATGCGCGCATCCTTGCGCAACTGATGGGATAAACGTGAACGCATCTTATTCGTATGACTCTGGCTGCCCGTGGCCGTTGCCGTGACCGTGACCGTCGTATTGGAGTTAGCTGCCAAATTGGCGGCCTGTTGATGCTGTTGATGCAACATTTGTTGCTCCTCCAATTGCTTGGCATCAACTAGGGCACGTGTGCTGGGCGCCACACGATGCAAACGTCGACGTTCCAGCAGCTGCAGCATGGTGGGCACTAGCAATTTAGAGCTATTATCCGGATCGCTATTCCGATTGTTATTGCTGCTGCCGCCGGCGGTGTTATTATAGCCAAATGCCAAAGTATGATTGGGATAGGAATATGGCTTGGAGCCGGCGGTCAGGTGTCTTGAGCTGCGCTGCAATTGATGTTCACGCAATGTGCTACCCATTTTCTTGGCATCCATAAGCGGCGTCGTATGATTTTCCAATAGATTGAGTATACGTTGCGCTGTCAGCGATAAGCCAGGCACATTGGCGCTACCATCACCAGCGCCAGTGCACAGATTCCCACGTGGGCGCATCTCGATGGGCTTCATGCCGTAGCTGCTGTGACAGATATTTGGGCGAGCAGGATTACTGTTGCTGCAAACGCTATCGCTATTCGATGGCGCCGGCGAGCTGCCGCCCGAATTGATCGGCAAATTGCCTTGACTAAAATAACGATTGTTTGCCGAACTGCCGCCAAAGGCGGTGGGTCCCTGATAAAATGGTGAATTGCCGGACATGCTGCTGCTCAACAGACGACTATCGCTCAACGCCGAAGTGCTGCCATATATGGAAGCGTTAAAGCGACGGCGATGATTCAGCGAATTGAGCGATAGTGTCGAATTGTGGTGTTGCAGCAGCGATGTTGCATTTACATTCGTATTGAACACCGATTTGCGGCTCTGCAAATTGCCATAAAATAATTGATTGCTATTGCTATTGATGTTATTGTTGTTGTTGTTGAGGTTGTTCATACGTCCATAACCAAAGCCTGACCCGCCAGCCGCATGGCTCTCATTGCTCTCGCACTCAGATTGGGAATCTGTACCGCCGCTGCGCTTAGTCTGTATTATATTGTTGTTGTTGTTGTTTGTCTCCTGGCGCATTGTTTGTTGCGGTTGCTGTTGCTGCTGCTCCTCATTTGGCACCTCGCTAATGGTCTGATAGCTGCGCCAGTTGGGCATAAGGCCGCGATGACCCAGCAGCGATTGCCGCTTATAGCTGGGCAGCGCCATTTCGCGGCGTTCAGTCATTGGCGCAATATTCAATGAGCGTCGCGAGCTGCTCAGTAGATCAGAAATGAGATAAGATTAAATGGAAATTGAAAATTGGTTCAACTGCAAACCGAACATTTTAACTATATATGTATGTAAAACACAAACTTACCTCATTGGCAAATCCCCGCTGGTGGCAACAGCTGCCTCGCTGCTGCTGTTGTTGCCGGCGGACATGAAATTGTAGGCGGGCTCGCGCTGACGCTGATGTCCGTAGAGGTTCAAGTGCGTTGAGAAACGATTCGGTGGCGCTTGGCTGCGCAGTGCATCGCTGGCAGCTGGCGTTGAGGCGTGCAGCTGCGGGCGTCGACGCTGTGCATTAAATTGAGGACTAAAGGTGCTTTCCATTGGCTGTAGCAAATATAATTTTCAATTAATTAGTTCCAATCAAATATAACATTTAAAAATTATCTATTGGCAATTTGACAACTTTTCGCTAACAATATACAAATGGTGAATTACAAAAAATATGGAAGATTTTCTAGATAACTCTACTCTCAATATAAGAGCCTATGATCCTTTCAATGCTTATTACGGAAAATGTTTTTGGTAATTGGTAATAATTATGTAATTGTTTGAGTGTTTCGTTTCATTCTTTTTCTAATAATCCTTGCGGGCCTAGACATAAATTTTGCATCTTTCTATTCGAATAGCCTGTCGTTATCGATAAAATTGAAAATTAGTCTAATCAAATGATCTGACGGGGGCCTACCTCCATACGCTTGCGCTTTTGCAGCGGCTGTGCCGCACTGCTGCGGAAATTAACGCTGCGATTTGGCTGTTGCGATCGATAGTTGAGTGGCTGTGGACCATCGTCGGCTTCGTCGTCGTCCTCCTCTTCGGCGTCCTCGTCATCATCGTCGTCGTCGTCTTCGTTGGCGACCAGTTGACGTTTGCGCAATAAACTAACATTATATTCGCTGCGACGCGTCTGCTCATCCTCGCCGGCCAGATCGTGTTCGGCTATGTTATCGGCCAGCTGAACCTCCTCTTCGTTGAGATCCTGCGCATTGGTGCCGTCATCGACGGCAATATCGGGCGCATCATCTGCCTCGAGCTGAATGCGACGACGACTGTGTTTCTGTTTGATTGTAGTTGTCAACGCGCTGCCATTATGCTGCGATAGCGGCAGCTGCGGCGATGTTGACGATGACGACTCTTCCCCAGCGACTGCGGCGGCGCCGGCGGCATTTGGGTCAGCAGTTGGTGAAAACCATTTGCTTAGTGAATCCGGAAGTATGCTGGATACCCGCAACTTTACTTTGCCCATGATGGACTAAAATGGGTGCAGGAGTACAGATTAGGCATGGCAATGCAATAACAGCAGAACAACAGAACTTACATTATTGTTGTTTTTACTGCTACTGCTGCTGCTGCTGCTGCTGTTGTTGTTGTTGTTGTTGGCGGCCTCATTTGCGAGTCTCAGTGGCGTGCGCGGCTGCGGAGTTTGTGTTTGTTGTTGTTGTTGCTGTTCCTGTTGTAGTAGTCGTTGTTGTTGCTGTTGGCCATCCTCAAATGCGGACATCATTGGATTTTAGCCGGCCCCCCGTACACGCACAAAATGCAACACTGTGTGCAGGACACATGCACACACGCATGCAAGCCAAACTATACAAAAAAAAAAAGAAGAAATGAAAATGAAAACGGCCACACTGTTGCAATTCCACGCGTGAGTCTGTGTGTGTTTGTGTGTGTCAAATGCGTGTCTGTTCATGTGTGTGTCTGTGTGTGTGTGTCACGACGAGATTCCAACACACGCGGCGCTCTCTACTGCTGCTGCCGCTGCCTGCTCTCAAATTTAGCTGTTTCTGATTCTGGACCAACACCAGTTTGCACTTTGGCGCCACGATCGCAGACTTTTTCGCTGATTTTATTTAACACTAAAAATGGTTGGCCTTGCGCAGCGGACGAGCATTTTATTGCTTGAACTATTTATAACGAGTTCCGATTTTTTTTGTTTGTCCTACACTTTATAAATTATTTAGTCAACTCATTTAACTCTTTCAACATACATATGTATATAAATGAGTCGCTATTTGAGCCACGCAGCCGCTTGCACACACTTACCCCTCCCCTGGCCTGAATGGCTGTTATTGCTTGTCTTTTTTTTTTTAGCGCATTGCACGCCGCGCGCGCCGCTTTTGTCCGTTTTACAGTTTTAGCACTTCACCCCGCAAGCTGCCTGTTTGATTGCTGAACGTAGAATTATTTTTTTGTCTCTTGCCTTTTTGCTCTTTCGCAATTCGTAGTTTTTTTATTGCACACACACACATGCACACACACGAACTGACATCAACGTCGCTTTGCGGTCGAACTGTGCGTCGCCGTCGTACTTTGCATTCGACCAAAAAAAAAAAAAAAACACCACGCACGTATTCAATTCAATTTTTTAGCGCACAAAGCACTAGCATTCACTCATTTGACAGTTGTTAAGCACATACATTATGTGAATTTGTTGTTTAACCAATTAAATGTTTAATTCGCACACTAAAAAATAAACTGAGGGCGAAAAAAAGCACGATTTGGAAAACGCGTGTGTGCCAGGTGCAACGAGTAGCGGATAATCTTTAAGCGAGTAACGAGTAACGAGAAATAAAATGGCGCCGATATCTCTGCGTGTGACAATTCGGGCTTACTAACAGCAGTGCTGTAAACCCAGCAAACTATCGTTAAGAGCGCGCTCTGATTTAACGTTTAGAATATTTTATAGAGTTTTTTTTATACGTATTTAAATACGTGCACGTTGCTTTATAATACAATCGCTTTGGTAGTAATGAGCCGATAGATATTGCACAATATACCATTTAGTTAGAACGATACTTGATGTGCGTCAAACTAGCGGCGATAACTTAGCGTCGATTTTTGTTACTGGTTATCGGAAAAGAAATCGCTCACTTTTAAATGCAGTTACTTATGTTTTTAAACAAAAAAAAAAAAAAAAAAAACAAATAAACTTCAATGCAGAATTGCAAAAAATTTTATTATTTACTGTCTACATTCATTTGTTTTTGAATTGTAGGTTAGAATATGGGTAAATCACGGGGTTGAAAAATTGGGTTTCCACCATTCTTTTAATATCTTAACTCAGGGAAAATGGCCCCGAAAACCGTATGTACACGATTAAAGCCTATGGTTTCACCTAACCAATCTGGAAAAAATTATAAAAATCGATCAGCACATTTTAAAGATATTTGTACAACAGTGCAGCAAACTCGTTGCTAGCCCCATACAAAATGACCGTAAAAAAATGGCCTTACACTTGAACCCAAATATCTTCTCTCAGGGATAATGGCCCTCTAGGCACGGTATACAAACTTGAAGATACATGTTTTAGGAAGCCTTATGCATTAATTCTAAACAAATCGATCAGTCAGTTTTTTAGAAAAATAATAATATGTAAGCACATCTCATATTGTTCATTCAAAATGCCTATCGAGCTACTAGCTCCAACGGGTACCGAGCCCCATTCATTTCTAATATTTGTATATGGGAAAGAAATGCAGTAATAAATGACATAATTGGCATTTTACAATAAAACAATATCTTTGGTAAAATAGACTACTGCGAAATATATTATGCAAAAAAAAAAAACTAGCTGGCAATATTTTTTTTCATCAGTTAATGGCATTGAAAACTATCGAATCATCGGCAAAAAATTGCTATAGTTATCGGCGCCTAACTTGCAGCCCTGCGTTTGGGTCTGTGTTTCCCGCCAAAAATAAAATTGCATTCGGCGTGCGAAGGCAATTGCGTTTGCGACTTTGTCTTGTTATTCGTTGTTTAAAGATTGTTTGAAAATGGCACACGACGCGGAGCAATACATTAAAGATATACAGCGTGAGTATGTGGACTTTCTGGACGACGAGGAGGACCAAGGCATCTATGCTGGCCATGTCAAAGATATGATTGCCGAGAAGAGCAAGCGTCTGGTTGTCAACATAAACGATCTGAAGCGCAAGAATCAACAGCGCGCCCTTGGCCTGCTGAGCAACGCCTCCGATGAGCAGCTGGCATTTGGGCGGGCACTCAAGGAGTACATCTCGACTGTCGATCCCAGCTATGCCAAACAGCACGAAGATTTTTTTGTTGGCTTCGAGGGCTGTTTTGGCAATCGGCATGTAACGCCTCGCACCCTCTCGTCCATCTATCTGGGAAATCTCGTGTGTCTGGAGGGCATTGTTACCAAGGTGTCGCTCATACATCCAAAGGTTGTGCGCAGCGTTCACTATTGTCCGGCTACGCGCAAGGTAATGGAACGCAAATATACAGATCTCACCTCATTCGAAGCGGTGCCCTCGAGCGCTGTTTATCCCACAAAAGACGATGATGGCAATCTGCTGGAAACGGAATTCGGCCTGTCTGTGTATAAGGATCATCAGACGCTCACCATACAGGAGATGCCAGAAAAGGCGCCAGCCGGCCAATTGCCGCGCTCCGTTGATATTGTGTGCGATGATGATCTTGTCGATCGCTGCAAGCCCGGCGATCGTGTCCAGATCGTTGGCAACTATCGCTGCCTGCCTGGCAAGCATGGCGGCTATACATCCGGCACCTTTCGCACCGTTCTGCTGGCCAACAACATATCGCTGCTCAGCAAGGAGAGCAATCTGGATATCTCACGCGAGGACATTATGCTCTGCAAGAAACTGGCCAAAAACAATGATATATTCGAGCTGCTCAGCAAGAGCCTGGCGCCCTCCATACACGGTCACACGTTTGTGAAGCAGGCCATACTCTGTCTACTGCTTGGCGGCGTTGAGAAGGTTCTGCCCAATGGTACACGTCTGCGCGGCGACATCAATGTGCTGCTCATCGGTGATCCTTCGGTGGCCAAATCTCAGCTGCTGCGCTATGTACTCAATACGGCGCCGCGTGCAATACCCACGACAGGACGTGGCTCCAGCGGCGTTGGCCTAACCGCTGCCGTTACCACAGATCAGGAGACGGGCGAACGTCGTCTGGAGGCCGGCGCCATGGTGCTAGCCGATCGTGGTGTTGTCTGCATCGATGAGTTCGATAAGATGAGCGACATTGATCGCACGGCCATACACGAGGTGATGGAACAGGGTCGGGTTACCATATCCAAGGCCGGCATACACGCCTCACTCAATGCACGCTGCTCGGTGCTGGCGGCCGCTAATCCGGTCTATGGACGCGTAAGTAATTCAATCAGCAAATCAATTGAAGATTGTCATTCAAGTCCTTTTCGTTAGTCGTATTTAACATAATATTAACGCATATTTCAGTACGATCAATATAAGACACCCATGGAAAATATTGGTCTGCAGGACTCGTTGCTGTCGCGTTTCGATTTGCTGTTTGTCATGCTGGACGTCATTGATAGCGATGTGGATCAAATGATATCGGATCATGTGGTGCGCATGCATCGCTATCGCAATCCCAAGGAAGCCGACGGCGAGCCCCTCACCATGGGCAGCTCCTATGCCGACTCGCTGGCCTTTGTCTCCAACTCGGAACAGGTATGTACAATATATATATATCGCCTGCGCATATTCTGAACTTTGTTTTTTGCAGCGCAAGGATACGGAGCTGTATGAGAAATATGATGCACTGTTGCATGGCAAATCACGCAAGCGTCACGAGAAGATTCTGTCCGTTGAGTTTATGCGCAAGTATATACATATTGCCAAGTGCATGAAGCCCAAGCTGACAGAGCAGGCCTGCGAGGCAATTGCCAATGAGTATTCGCGCCTGCGCTCCCAAGAGGCTGTCGAATCGGATGTAGCACGCACACAGCCGATTACGGCGCGTACATTGGAAACGCTTATCCGTTTGGCAACGGCGCATGCCCGGGCACGCATGTCCAAAACGGTGACCATCGATGATGCCCATGCGGCCATTGAGCTGGTGCAGTATGCCTACTTTAAGAAGGTGCTGGAGAAGGAGCGCGGCAGCAAGCGGCGTCGCAATGGCGGCTCCTCCGATGAGGAGGAGGAGGAAGATGCCAATGGCACCACCGATGCCGCTACGCGCTCTCCCTCGCGCCGATCCAAACGCACACGCACCGAACCTGATCCAAATGCCGTGCACGATAGTGATGAGGATATTGAGCCGCCACAGCCGGATGTGGGCGATTTGACGCGCCGTGAGACACGCCGCTCGCTGCCGGCACGCCAGCACCATGAAGCCGCCGCAACCGGCTCGGAAAGTCTGACCGGCTCGGAGCCCGTCAGCAACATATCCGCAACGCCTGCAACCATTACCGATGAACGCCTGGGCGTATTCAAGAACGGGCTGCAGCGACTGTTTCGCGAGGCACGCGAACAGAGCCTGCCGCTGCACCGCATCACGGCGGCCATCAACGAGAATAATGCGGAACCGTTTGTAGCCGGCGAGGTTGATGCGGCCATGCATCGCATGACCGAGGACAATCAGATAATGGTCGCCGACGATATCGTCTTTCTTATCTAATCCTTATAATTTCCAGCCTACCTATATGCATCTGATTGTAACTCCCTTAGATAACGTACAAATTCTATGTTTAGCCATTAAGTCTTTCGATTTTTTTTTGTTCATTTTATATTTATAATAAAAACTTGGAACTCTTATTTACCCATGCATGAAGTCAAGTGCCCAATGAACTTATCTTATTATCAAAGTGGTTTTTGCTCGAACTAAGCGAATTTCAAATCCGCACGTTCCATTCCAGCATTCCATTCATGGCGCTTCTTTCGTAACTCATACATTATGTAGTAAAGTATTTGACTGATTTAAGCATAACTGACACGAAAGTTAATCGGATGTTTCATTCCGACGTTCCATTTATTGATTCGACTCTAACCTGCAAAATGCGACATGCTGGAATGAAACATGCCTTGAGAACAAATACGAATTAAAAGTAGCATCTAAATTAACTATTTGCAGTTTTCCAACTTAAATATATGAAATTGTATTATTCAAATTATTCGCTGCTAGCCTAAAATTTTGATTCGAAAAAAATTGGCAAATTTAACATGGATTGAAAAACAAATTCAGATTAAAAATAAGTTAAACAATTACAACAGCAAGATGCCTGCAACTTAATAGAGAAAAGTTCTCATAAAGGAAATACATTGATGAATTTGATTTATTTAATTCCTAACCTAAAAATTTGCTTGTGGAATGCTGGAATGGAACATACGTTAAAAATAATAAAGTAAAAGCTGATATATGATGTTTAAAAGAGAACTTAATGTTAATTTGTGGCGCAACCAAAAACAGGAATGAGCTTTATATGGATAAATGTGATATATATATAATAAGTGGGAGCACTTCAAGACTTCGTCTATTGTTTGATTTACATTAATAGGATTTATTTCTGAACGATGATAAAGTGACTAATTCGTTGCGTAACGTAGCCAAGACTCACGCCAAATACTATATATATATACATAGATATAGATATAGATATATACAAGTTGAGGTTTTGGAAAACATTGTGGATATGGTTATTTGTTTGTACACATCTACAAATCTATTTACTTACAAGCTAAATCGCTTTAAGGAACAAACAACACACACACACACATAGATATACTTATATGGAGATATCTTTTATAAATGTATCTAGACATGATTTAAGGGATTCACTTAACGTGTTGTTGTAACTGCCAGGCAATAATATAGACAATAATCTATATATATATATATATATATATATATATATATAGAGAGAGTTAAGGGCAGATTGCTGGTGTGTTAGGGGGTTGGGCACATTTAGCTAATGATCAAAGATTCACAACGTTCTTCAAGTCGGACGGCAGCAGGCCCTTCATGCACTCAATTTGCGCCCTTATCTGCCGTTGGGTGGTATTCGTGTTGCCCTCGAGCTGTGTCTTATCGCTGTAGAGATTCAGTTTTTGTTTTAATTTGAGTATCATATCAATTATTTCCACTTCCTGTTTGTCGTGTGCCCAATGCTCCAGATTTGCCTCGGACAGCGCCTGCAGTTGTAGATCTTGCAGCGTTAGCTGCAGCTCCCGATGCCGCGACTCGTACCAGCCACGAAAATTGGGCGAACGAAAGAAGCGCCTGTAGAGGCCCTTCCAATCGCCCTTGAGCGTGGACGTCAGCTGTGGACCGGCTTCTTCGACCTTGCGCAGAAAATCATCCAGCTTGAATGAGTTGGCATTGGGCGCCGACTTGAATGGGCTGATGTCCTTTTGCAGCGGCATCAGGGAGGCCATATAACGCTCCAGCGGTATCATAAAGCTCTGCGTTAGCTCCAACAGATGCCGCCTGATGAGCGCCGTCTGCACATGGTCCGGTCGCTTCGTCTTAATGCCCAGCAGAACTTTCTTGATCAGCGCCTTGTCCTTCTTTAGGTACGGCTTGTATTTGGTATGCAGTCCGGCGGCTGAGCTGTCGCTCGCTGCCGTCAGGCTGCCATTGAGGATGTTGTGATTGTTGCCGCTTGGTTGCGGCGGCAGTTTGGCGCTGGCATTGCGCGTATTCTTGTGCTGTTGCAGCAGCTCCTGTTGCTGCTGCTGCATGTTCTTCTGCAAGGCATACATAAGGCATATGGCATGAGCTTGGACGAGAGTGTATAGAGACAGCATGTCAATTACCTGATTATCCACCAGACGCAGCATGTGCGGCCAATCCTTGAGCAGCTTCACAAAGAACGGATTTGTGACGCCCAGTATGACAGCTGGTATGGGTCGATTGGTGCACTCTTGGGTGAACTCCTTGAATTCGCTATCGTGTATGGTAAAATAGGGACGCGCCTCGGCACAGTATTCAAGTGGCGCTATAACCGCAACCAGAGCCTGCACCATGTGTGAACAATCAGCGGGCGAGGTGCCAACCACAACAATGGGCTCAGCTGTGATGACAAGCTCCCACAGCGTATACAGATGCTCTATCACATAGCTCAGACTGTGAAACAGCTCCAGCTCATTGACGGATGCCAGCACCTTGACCGATATGGGCATCTCTGGCTGCGGATTGGTCGGCATCGATGTTGCTGCGTTAACATGTAAGCTCTGCAACTTGCGACTGCTGCTGGTCGCCTTGGGTATGCATATCTGATAGTTGTACTCGAACAGCGGCAGCTTGAGCGTCTGTCCGACCATTAGCATTGGCCACTGGCTGTTGATTTGGTCGCAGGCGCGGCGCAGCAGTTCGTTGCCCTCCTCGAAATATTTGGGCGCCAGCTGGGCGAGCACATCGTAGTACAGATTAAAGAACGGCAGCCGCGTTATAATGATTAAGCTCTTTTGGAAATAGCCGCGCGGCAGATTCGGATCGCGTTTCTGTCGGAAGTAAACGAATCCCCAATAGTGGCTGCTATCGTAGCGCATGGCCGGCGCACAGTCCCCATTGTATTGGTTCATGGTGGCGGGCATTTTATGTTTGGCATTTTGGATGGCCCGCAGGCGCATATGGAACTTGGTGTCGCCCATGCAGCCCGAATTGGAGTCCGGGAAGGCCATGTAGCAAATGTTGCTCACCTCCTGATCGCTGGGCATAAACTCGGCGGGATAGACATATTCGAGTGCCTGGCCCAAGTTCAGATCGAAGGTAACAACACAAAAACAATGCACCCATTGTGATAAACGGATCCAATCATCTGGCGATTGATTCGTTGATGCGCTTGGCTTTCTCACTGCATCCGCATTGGCAACTGTTGCCACCTGTTCATCGTTTGATTGATGCCGTTGCCGAGCGTCTGTGTTCATCATTTGCAAATCTTAGCAATTGTTATCGTTTAACGTTGCATGGAAATTGCTTAATTCTACTTTCACTTCAATGTTAATGTTATTTATTTGTGCTTGCCTTGCCAGCGTTGCCACCTTATCGCTGCGCTACAATAATATGCGACACGGTCTGGCAACTCTAGCAGCGAGCGATAAGCATCATTTATCGTTTTGCTCAATTCGTATCGTATGGGCAGCACTTAATGAATAAAAAAAAAAAACTTGAAATTTGCAAAATTATGTGTATATTTTTAGTTTAGCTAGCTAATGTGTGTATGTGTGATGTTATGCCAGTGTATCACAGATATGGGTCCCAGCCATGATAGAGCATTGCTAAATTGCTTGGCAACGTTGCCTCGTTTATCAGACGCTGCACCTGTGCCTCCACATCCGAGTTGTCCAATAAACCCGGCTCCCTACCTTCCAGTTTGTACTTAACAAGTATTAGGGCACGCTGTGCCAGTGAATTCTTGGATTCCTCATCTGTGAATGGCAACGATTGAAATTAGTTAAATTCTAGTTAAATAGATTTTTGCAAGCCACCTACTTGACTGCAGTTGTTGTTGGTCTTTTGAAAGCACGCCCCATATGAAGAGTGGATCGTAGAGCAGAACTTCTAAGATGGTCGTAAAAACGGACTTGTAACGCCTTAAAATATGCATAATTGCCTCGCAGGACTTGGTAAAAACACCATTTGTACCACAAACGCCCATAGGTGCGACAAAATCGCGCGTTAAGCGAAACGGCACCGTTTCCGGCGTTGTCTGAATCTTGCCCTGCTCAAAGGCAATACCTGTCAAATACACAAGAGGATACTTCATAAAAATAACATGTTAGCTGTTGGCTACCATTTAAACCGCACCAAAGTCAATGTGCACCACTTCAGCGGTCCGCTCATCAATTAGAATGTTCTGTGTATGGCGATCGCCCAGGCCGAGAACATAGCCCACCATCGAGGTGGTGGCCACGCTATTGATGTATGCCAGACGCCGCTCAAACCATTCGCCTGGTATAAGAAATTTTTCGAGCAGAAAATAATGGAAGACTGGCTTCACATGCTCGCAAATATTGTGATAGATTTTTCTACGTTCCGCTGGCGATTTCTTCAGGCCCGCCTGCATAATAAATATATGAATACATCAAATACGCTATTGTATATAACATATGTACCGCTGTCAGATCGCGACATTTACGATTGTTCCAGTCGTTCGGGCGGTATTTCATGTGCGCACCGCCAGTGCCATCGCCCACCAGATAGGAGGCAACAGGTATGGTATTGCTGCACCACTCAAGAATGCCGCTCCGTGTTGAGAGTGGGGTCACCTTGTAGGTGCGTAAATGCAGCTTGCGCTCAATAAACTGGGAGTCGCTGTTCAGTAGCTCGTTGACAATGCCAAACACCTGCTGCATGACTGCATCCTGGCGCAGATCATCCTTGCCTTTGATCAGCTGAGCACGCACCACGCCATCCGAGCAGAGGCACTTCACCTTAATGGGCGCATTGAGGCCACCACAAAACGAGTACTCACCCGTCCATTTCGTGATGCCTGCGTATGGAATGACAAACAGTCAATTAGTCGGTCGGTTAAAAAAGTTATATATCGCTTCCGTTCTGGCTTACTGATCAAATCATAATGCCGGCTGGGCTGGACTTGCAGCTCCAATGTGGGACATTGTATGCAATCCATTTTGAGTACGCTCAGCTTCAAAAGCTTGTCGGGCACCACTTTGGGATTGGGTCGGCCATTTGGGCCAGGAGAGAGATACGTGTTGGCGAAGCCAATTAGCGCTGCAAAGTTAAGAACATAAACCAAGTTAAAGATCAGCCATGATTCCCCAGCTGGTTCAGCTCACCAGGAAACATGAACTCGAA